CGAGCTGAGGGTTCTAGGGTCCCATTAGACTGGCGAAGATTTCCAGATGAGGAAAAATAATATCTTTATTAAGAAAGGTTCAATGAGTAAACGCAGGTTCGTGAATGTGGCACACGGAACCTGCAAAAAAAAGTTACAGAGGTTAATTATGTACAGAAAAGTGAGAAGACATAGAATAATATCAAGAGGCCTGCCGGGGATAGCTGAAGGTGGACAGTGTTTGTTTTCATGACAGGGTGAGATAGGCAGTGATGAAGGTGTGATCATAACAGGTTGCATAATTTATGTTGTATACTTCAAGGGTGGCTAAGTACGGGTTGGAGGGGGGTGGGGTGGATTCTGGAAATGAGGAGGGAATTGGAGAACTATTCATTGTGTCTTGTTTATCTTGGTGTTGCTGTGCTGTTTTACTCAAGTGACTGTCCAATGTTTTTATTTTCTCTTTTTTTCTTTAAGCGGGTGGGTGGGCAATGTTTAAAAATCACAATACGGCGAACGCCAATATAATTTTATAGTGAAGGTGTACCTGCTCGCAAGCAAATTGAGCATTCTTAAATCTATGACATCACATTTTTAACTCAGGTCACATAAAAGAGAGGCGAGTCGACTATACCTACCAGGTCAACACGAGTTTTTCAGAACGCACATCTCCACACAAAGCCAAATACGCTCGATAAAATCCTATCTTTTTCTGGAAATATGGCTGACTTACCTCATGTCATTTGCGACTACTCCAATACAAAGTTTGTTTGCAAATGCCAAACAGAAATTAAGAGACGGCAAAACGAAAGTAATGTAAAGATTCGTTTTCCCTCCTTATAGTGTGTACTCAAGTTTTATTAAAGTTGGGATTGGGTCTTTTACATGTACGTTTGTAATACTGTATTTATACACTGACAACAAGGAACAATGAAATACAAAGGGAATTTAATATGTGTGATGTCATGTTGAAATTAAGTGCTTGTCGAAATAAAGAAATCGAAGACACCCGACTTCTCCCGCTCCCTGGACAAATTTCATTCTTCTTCTTCTTCTTCTTCTTCTTCTTCTTCTTCTTCTTCTTCTTCTTCTTCTTCTTCTTCTTCTTCTTCTCCTTCTCCTTCTCCTTCTCCTTCTCCTTCTCCTCCTCCTCCTCCTCCTCCTCCTCCTCCTCCTCCTCCTCCTCCTCCTCCTCCTCCTCCTCCTCCTCCTCCTCCTCCTCCTCCTCCTCCTCCTCCTCCTCATCCTCCTCCTCCTCCTCCTCCTCCTCTTCCTCTTCCTCTTCCTCTTCCTCCTCCTCTTCCTCTTCCTCTTCCTATTCCTCCTCCTCTTCCTCCTCCTCCTCCTCCTCCTCCTCCTCCTCCTTCTTCTTCTTCTTCTTATATTAAATATTATTATCATTTTTATTTTTACTTTTATTATTATTATTTTAGCTCAATCCCCTTCATTGCCATTTAAAACCACATTTTGTGTAGATTTCATTTAACATTGACCAATAAATGTTCCCCAAAAATTGTAATTGTGCTGTTTCCAAGGATACTTAAGCTTTGGAAGCCAAATATGGCTACTAATTTCTCGAAACTTGACAACTGACACCAGGCAACCATCGACTCCTTGAGTCGTACATATCTCAACTTGAATATAAGATAGCTTAATGTGTATTTTTTCATCAAAGCAAGTTGAATAAACCAGCTTTAAGATATGATACCAATAGCGTCAAATACCCAAAAGCTGACGAGTGTGTGCTCCCCCACATATCGTGACATAAAATTTCTTCCCCACTGAATACAATAAATGGCCCATCTTGAGTCAATCCCGTCGACACGGGTACAACTTTTGTTTGCAAATGGCAAACAGAAATCATGAAAAGTTAAAAGAAAGTACACGTAAAATTAGTTTCAGGGGGAAAGCCCAACGGGGCGGGGGTTGAAGGCTCCATTATGTGTGTTCCCAAGTTTTATAAAAGTTTGGATAGTGTCTTTTACATGCACGTTCGAAATATATTTGTTCACATATTAACTGTGGTGCAGCGGTTAGGCGCTTCGCTGTGACACAGAGGAGACCCGGGTTCGATTTCTGAGTGAGGCGAATTTTTGTAGAGTATCTCGGTCTTTTTGATGGGACGTTGTATCCTTCTCAGCCTGGGTTGACCTTGGCAGGTGGGGTTAGATGCGCCTCCAAAAATGATCTACATTGTGTCAATCAGGGCGTAAAACACTTACGTTTCAACAACAAAAAAAGAAAAATAAAGAAACACACACACATACACACATACACACATCAATCTGAAACAAATCAAAGCAAAGTGAGACTATTAATAATGATTTTCCTGCCTTTTTATCTCCCCCTCCCTCAGGTTTTCTGGAAGTTGTGGCGGCTGTTGCGATCGCGTCCGGCGGTTGTATGGTGGTGTTGTCCATCCTGGGGCTGTGTGGAGCTGGCAGAAACTCCAGGTGTCTTCTGGCGCTGGTGAGTACTGTGTATGTGTGTGTCAGAATGTCATTGTGCGTGCGTGCGTGCA